ACCCTAATACTGCTTTTCTATTTTTCATTTATTTTATTGCTGTCACCTCATGCTCCAGTATAAATTTCGGTCTTTGATCATGGAAAGTCTACTCCAGATATAATTACTTCTTTTTAATATCATGTTTCTCTATAATTAATTTCCCGTTTGAGTTCATGATTTTAATATGCTGTCGCTTAGAAAAATTGGTGGAGATGGTTTAAAAAAAAAACCTTGTTCGGGTAAAGTTCATGCGACAATTTTATATTAGTTGAAAGCACATAAAAGTACAAAGCTCATATAGCAGTTTTCATCTCTTGGCAGAATCTGTATTTCTCCTAATTGTCGTGTCAAGATACTTAACCTTTTTATGTCTTTTATGTCTTTGAGTCACCGTCACCCAAGTATTCGACAAAATGAACATTGCAGGTGTTTCCAGATTGCTTTAAAGTATTATTAACTCCATTGTGCCACTTGTTCTCGAAAAATTGGCGTAACAACCTTTTCCATGATAAGGTCGAGTTTTTTACTAGTATAATACTTGGACAAAATATCAATGACAACAATTTTTCCAGACGACATAGAAGATGCTGAAATATTTACACTTTTAGCGAAGACGTTTTAGCGAAATATACCAACACTATTTCCAGAAGCTAGCAATTACAATGATTCTACAGCTTCCTCCATTACCTGTTCTATCGACTTTTTACATAAATATGATATTTGCCGACAGGTGCCGTAATTATAGTATCATTTTACATTATTTTTCTAATTATTAGGACTTATTTCTGTTTATTTTATCAAGAAAACTGTTAATTTAAACCTTTTCTTTCTACAGAGCGTTTAAATTTATTAATTTCGTAACTTAAACTTAATACACGCATTTTTCATAAATTATCTTGACTGCTGGTGAAAAGTAAAGACAAAGGTCTCCTGGTAATTAGAAAGGAGCAACCGACAGCGAAATATTCAAATGAGGGGTTTTAATGTTTCACAGACTTAATGAGAATTTTTGTCTCAAAAATTTAGTTAGGTTAAAACGACGTTAAAACATACCATGGCACGTAATTTTGCCGCTACGAAGCCGGAACAACACGGAAATCCGGGGAAAAATTTTTAAATTTTCAGTATAATTACAAGAGAAAAAAGGTTTAATTAAAGAAAGATGTTAAAGCTTTGATGAAGTTATCGTATCGTTTCATTTTCGAATATTCACTCTCACGATTAGCGAACATTCGACGAGTCTCTTTATCACAGCGGTTCTCTCACACGTTATTTTACCAACAAAACAGGAACCATTTCGCTTTGAGGCACGATTTCCACAAAGGGAGCCGAATGAATTGTTCTTTTTAAATTTTAAATAGCCGACGTCGAAAAAGAGAGACGAGCTTTTTTACTCGTGACTATGATCGAGGTTCGCTCGAAACGTTTGCCGAGAACGCAGAGGGACCGAAAGTAATCGGACGTACGGATGCGTTCCAAAGTTACAAGATTTAGTGCAACGTTTAAAGGTGTTTTTATTATTTCAGCTTGCAGATGGGACTATTAATTTTGTAGCTTCTTACGCGAACCCGCTCCAAACTTAAGGCGAAGATAAATAAAAGTTCGCGAGGAGATAGTTTAGCGGCTCCGGTGAACATTAAGCGGATTTAGTATTCGAAGGCATGTCACATAAAATGTAGACTAACTATTTTACTGCGATTTTCCAAGAAAACCATGAATATCACATTGTTATTGATTTAATCCTATTACTAAAAATATATTTGCACTATAAATAACAGTATTGACAGCATTAGATGCTTATAAAACGAAGAGAAAAAGAGTAGCGACAAAAATATATGGCAAGAATTGCTCAACCGAGTACAACTAGATGATTGCTCATTATAATAGAATTTAATAAGCGGAATTCCAAGAGATGAACTTTTATATAGCACGAATAATTTAGATTCATTAAAAGCTAAATTAAAACTACTTAGCGAAATGAAGTTGAGAGTAGCGAGAAAGACCGTAAAGAAAGAATTTGAACGAAAAATAAACACTGACAATGAGTTGCTTAATTTTGGGTGCTATATCAGCATACAATGTGAAAAAACTGTTACACTTTTGAACAAGATTTTGAAGAAAATCGTAAATTAGTTACAAATTAAGATTTATTCAGTAAAATAAGCCCTCTACGATATTAGCCCCCTAACCGGGAGTGGTAATGGGGGAATACGAACAAACATAATTTTTTCATTTAGCACGACATTAGTGTTAGTGTTAAAATATGCTCTATAGCAAATAGACAGAACAGTAGCAAAATATGGATTAGAAACAAACCATTTATAGCTTAGATTATTTTGGTTAATGTAAAGTGACTTTTGGTGCTAAAGTTTTATTTGATCACTTAGTTTTTGACTTATTATCAACATTATCTATCTCAGAATGGATTTCGTGTCCAGTCCATAAGTTGCAGGTTACACTTAGGAAAATAACTGTTCATTTTTTCTGCTAATAACTCCAAGTATTTCACTATCGAAGCCTGTACCTTTTTTTTTGAATCGGCAGCCATCACATTTGGGAACATTTCATTACTACCATTGGTAGCGTGACTGATCGATAACTCCAACTTAGCGCAAAAACTTTCAATCTTGTGCGATGATGTTAAAATATTAGAATTCTTGCCTTGCATTTTTTTGTTGAGCGAATATGTCCGCCAGATATGCAAGCTTTGCTACCCATTCTTTTGTTTAAACAGAGAAGCAAAATCTGATACTTGGGCCTCTAAAAACGTCTGAGTTTTATTTTTTAATTCGTAAATCCGAGAAAGCACTTTTCCGCGATATAGCCATCGTACTTCTGTAAGAAACAAAAGTGACTGATGATCTCCCATTTACTGACACACTGCATTAAACAGACGAGAGTTCAGAGGTCGCGACTTTATGTAATTGACAAATTTTACAACTTCTTGTAAGACAGACAACAATACATTAGGCAGAGAGTTCGTCATCAGTACTTCCCTGTGTAAAAAGCAATATAAATTTTTAATATTAGAATTTTTTCCAGAAGCCCTGGTTACAAATTCCTTAATTTTTGCTGTCGTATCTGCTACTCCGTCTGTGCAAATGCTTAAGCAGTTGTGCCATTCCAAATTATGCTCACTAAAGTACTAGTCTGTTACTTGGAATATTCCTCTGCATTTGCATATAGAGAAAGTGGCTAGAACAACCATTTACAGATTTAAGCAATATGCTCAAAACTGTTCCGACATGTCCTACCAATGGGCTGCGGAAGACAATATAAACACTGATACTGTGCTATCAATGCCGTCAGATTTCGCGGTATCACTATCAGTGATTAATGCTCGATACCAGATTGTACTGCCTAAGCGGCAGTCCTGGATCGAAAATGAAAATTCTCTGGTTCGGACAGACATTTGCTTGTACACAGATGGATCAAAAACGCCTGAAGGGGTAGGAGCAGGAGTATACTGCCAGACATCTCGAATTAAGCAAGCCTACAGCCTGGGTACGTACTGTACTGTATTCCAGGCGGAAGTATTTGCTATTGACATGGGTGCTAAAATCCTTCTTGAAAGAGGGGTGAAGAACATGACAGTACGAATTTTCTCAGACAGTCAAGCCGCTCTCCAGGCGTTGCAAGCCGTGAAAACGGTGTCGGCTCTGGTTAATGATTGTAAGAGAACATTAAACACACTGAGTTGTGATAACAGAGTCTCTCTGATCTGGGTCCCGGGTCACTCTGGGGTTGCTGGCAATGAAGCGGCAGATAAGCTAGCACGAGATGGCAGCGTTGAAGCGTTTGTGGGGCCGGAACCAGCAGTTGGTGTATCATTTGCGATGGCCAAATATAGGATTGGACTGTGGGCTGAAGAGCGACTTCGCCTACTGTGGACCAGTTCTCCTGGAATGAGACATGCTAAGGTGTTTATTAACATCGCCACTGTCAAACCCGGGAATATTTTAGGACTTGCCCGTAGTAGCATAAAAGTTCTAATGGGTGTTTTTACTAGGCACTGCCGATTAAAAGCACACCTCAACTTGTTGGGTTTAGCCGACGATGTTGAATGCCGACTATGTGCGGAGGAAGCAGAGACGGTTGAGCATGTTTTATGCCACTGCCCTGCCGTTAACCGTATCAGATTCTCTATTTTTGGGTCGCAGTTTATCTCCTCAAAAGATCTGAAGGACCTTTCGCCGAGCAAGGTATTAATGTTCGTTAAGAGCATTGGACTGCACGGTGAAATTTGATAACGATATCTATCGGGGTACAATAGATCCTTAGGGTCGCGGTGCAAGGTTGGTTGGGCCGCCTACCCGATATGTATTCTATGTAATGTAATGTAATGTACTTGCAATATTTCTTCTCCAGTGGTAAAACCGAATAGTGGCAGACAAAATAAAAAGTCCTCTTTTATTTCATATTTGTCAGTGTACCTCACATTTGAGATGAGAATTAACAGCATCTTTTCAACACAAAATCCATTTTATCGTCATGACTCAAAGAGGAAATTCACATCGATGTTGAACTCAACGATACACTTATATGCTTCAAGGGCATTTGACTTTCTAAGAATTTTTAAAGTTTTGCAACAGTGCAAGAAAAGCTAGGAGTGGTGATAAATCATTCATCATTCGTGAGCTGTTACCTTCAGACTCACAAAAAATCTTATACCCAAAAAGATGCATTAGAATGCTGAATCCTTTTAACACGTCTATTACATTAATATTGAAACGCGATAATCACGATATCTGCATGTGTCTGAAATAGAGGTAGATGCAAGTAAAATCTGAGGCATCTATATATATTTTATCCATGTTTAGTAAATACTTTTGGCTCAAATCGTGATTTGTATTATTTCTTAGCAAAGTTTTAGGAATTACATTTATTGATATTAATTGTACAAGAATAAACATCACAACTTAACAACAACAAGTCATTTTGAGTTTGAACTTAACACTTAGTTACAATTAAGTGTTACGTCGTTTAAATGTAACATTTAATTTTGATTGTTTACTCACAATGGATTTCCAATTTCCAACCGTCTTCAATACCCTCGGTAGAGAGCACTTTATTTTCCGCCTTGCATGACAGATACTTTCCATCATCTTCCTTGCTGGCTACGAATGACAGAGTGCTCGTCGTTGTGTTCCCGTCCCTGGATGTCTGAAAAATACATATACATTATACTTGTTTGCTGAAACGCGTCAGACTTCAAAGTAGTTTCAAATACATTGTACGAGCGCTGAATAAAAGCGGGAGTTACAAAGAAAGAATGAAAAATTTACGTTTTAGTCTTAAGTAAAGGAACGCTTTTTTGTATTTGTTGATAATTTTTTGTTGGTGTTATTGATGACGTTAATATCGTTTTTTGTGAGGTTGTCCAATTTTATGTGATGTTTAATGGATGTATGTGCACAATCCAAATATTTCCTCCAACAACATGTTAATAGTTAAAATGCGGAAAAATCGACTTTTTTAATCGAGGTAAAAATGAAATTTCGGCGTTTTCGTGCGTATTTATCACGTTTATGCAATGTGCGTTTTATTTTTGGGCAACGAAACGGAAAATAAACACGACGCGCTCGGAAACAAGCCTCCGCATAACGGACGGACAGGATAAATGGCGAAAAAATTGACAACGATTTGAAAATATCATTCAGTTTGTGGTTTTGCCACGTTTCTTTTTTTATAACTTCGCTCACAGTTTATTTGTATTCTACAAAACCGTAATGTTATAAACTAAAATTTATTTAGAGGTTTTTAAATTAAAGGATTAAAAAACACTAATTAAAAACTAACAGAATGAATAAGAAATTTATATTAAAAAAGTGGTTAAAATTCTGCACGAACTGAAATGATGCTTAAAAACGATGGTAACATGGTAAGAGGAGTTCGAGGGTGGCAAACGCGGCGTGGCGTCAGTTTCGCCAACTTTTGTTGGGCGTCAAAAGTTTTCAACAGTCTCATCGTCGACTGACGTACAACTTTGAGGGCGGACAAACGAACGAACGCTTGCCGAACTTTTTGGCCGCCGCCGGTTTTAACTGAAACGGATTGTTCACGTAGCCAAATGGTGAAACGGTGTCGACGTGGCGCCATTCTCGAAACTTTCAATTCACAACAACTACTACATTGTGTACGGAGACGTGGTTTACACTTTAAGACTTCTTTAAGCCAATCAAAAACTAACAGAAGTGATTAATTTCTGCACTTATTATATACATAGTGTTATTTAAAAAACCGCAACTATATCGTAGGAAAGCTCTGCTTCACAAAATCAAACCTTCATCAGATCTTCACCTCATCAGACAAAATCGCATGTAGGTAAGGTTAAGGATTCCAGAAGTAAGTTCGACATTATGAAAAGAAGTTATAATCAATATGCAGCATGATCATATCATAATATTTTTTCTTAAAATCCATATCGATCAAATGCGCTTAGTTGTGTACATCAAAACTTCAAGTATAATTTTGACTTCATAATTACTTGTAATAAGTGTATAAAGACCTTTAATGAGTTTAGAACAGATCAAAATTTAGGATTGATGGAACTGCCCATAGAAAACTTGTATAAAATACCATCAAACCTGAAAGTTGAAATTGTGACATTATTTTAGCGCATATTATTCTGATAGATAAGGGCAAAGATAAAAGTTTGGAGAGGATTCCACCAGAGGAACGACACTGGCAGTTTCAAGGCAATTCTGAAATGTGAAAGTCGTTCGCATCGCAATATCCCATTACCTAAAAATGTGCTATGATACTTAAAGTTTGTGATATGTGACACTTTTCAATAGCAATATGTCTTGATAACACCTCATATGAATCCATAGAGAAGGCTCTAAACGTAAAAGACATACATCCGTCTACAATCAAGTGGTGTATAGCCATGTTGAAAAGTCGGCAGATCACAGCCAGTCTGGGAGGCGAGTTGCTGACTATAAAGGCGCTAAGAGAATGTCCCCAAGGGGGAGTGCTATCACCTCTATTATGGTGCCTGGTAGTTGATGACTTGATGAACACCCTAACTAAAAACGGATTTAAGATACAAGGGTATGCTGATGACCTGGTAATCACAATCCGAGGTAAATATTCAATCATAACTCAGCTAATGCAGAAAGTCCTACTACTCACCAGTACTTGGTGCAGAAGCAATGGGCTCAGCATCAATCCCGATAAAATCGAAATAGTCCCTTTCACTCGGAGAAGGAAGCTACAAATAAAAGCACCCTCCATTGAAAGCAGAACTATTAACCTCAAAACAGAAACTAAATACCTAAGGGTAATACTTGACAGTAAACTAAACTGGAACTCACACTTAGATAAGGTGAGGAAAAAGGCCATCATGGCAAACCAGATCTGCCGCAGGCTCCTAGGAAGGAACTGGGGTCTCAAACCACGAATGGCTCATTGGGCCTACGTAGCAATAATCAGACCCATGGTCGCCTACGCCTCATTGGTTTGGTGGCCAAAAACAAAACATAAGACAGCTCAACAACAGCTGGCACAAATCCAGCGGTTAGCATGTCTTAACATAACGGGTGCAATGAGATCCTGTCCGACGGCTGCTTTGGAAGCCCTACTCGGTCTCACACCGCTCCACATATATATACAAAAGGAGGCAGCCTTAAGTGCCTTATCACTGAAAACAGTTTCTTCACTCAAGTTGATGCAGGGTAATCTCAGAGGACACCTCGAGATCCTCAAAGACCCATGTCTAAATCACCTGATTGAAATTAAAACGGACCTTATACCGACGGAATACAATTTCAACCAACCGTATAAGGTCATATTTAGTAGCAGGGATGATTGGGCGAAAGGAGGGCCTCAACTAAAAAGAGGAGCCCTAGCCTGGTACACCGATGCTTCAAAGACAGTAAGATCTGGAGTAGGCATGGGCATCAGTGGACCAAATAGCCACATCAAATTGCCCCTCAGCTCGGACTTAACAATTTTCCAAGCAGAAGTTCTTGCTATAAACTTCTGCACCGCTTTGAACCTACAGAAGGGACAAAAAGGTGCATCCATAAACATTTTCACAGACAGTCGGGCCGCCTTAAAGGCAATTCTGGCCTACACGTGTTTCTCCGCACTGATCAGAGAGTGTACCAACAACCTGAGAGAACTCGCTAGGGGCAATGATGTTACCCTATGGTGGGTTCCAGGTCACAGCAACATTGAGGGCAATGAGAAGGCCGACAAGCTGGCCAAAGAGGCAGCAAATACGCCCTTCATTGGACCCCAACCTGGATGTGGACTACAAAAAAGCCACCTAAAACAAATAAGGGAGATCACCAACTGGGAGGCTTCAAAGATAGCCTTACGCTGGAAAGAACTTCCAGGTCACAGACAAGCGAAGAGTACGATAACTCCGTCGCAAAACAAAACCAAAGAGGTTTTATGCGTCAGCAAAGGGGATCTAAGAACGCTCTCAGGCTACCTGACCGGTCATGTGCCCGTAAAATACCACCTCTTCCACATTGGACAAGCTGAGGATCAAACTTGTCGACTATGCAACGACGAGTCAGAAACTGCTGAACATATACTGTGCAATTGCCTCGCCAGAGGCCGTCTAAGGCACAACGTCTTAGGTAAAACTCCCCTGTTACCTACCGACATAAAGGTTCAAGATCTCAGGACAATACTAAGGTTCATTAAGGACCTACATTTGCCCTAAACCTTTGGAGGGCTAAAGTTACAATAGATCTTATAGGTCGCGGTAACGAGAGGGGCCGCTCTCCTCAGCCCGGCTGCAATAATAATAATAATAATAGCAATATGTCGGCACATTTTTCTTAAGGGGAATTGATTCCAAATTGAAGGAAATCATAGTAAATAGTTATACAAAATTTAGTCAACAAATTATTGAAAATATCAAATTAAACGGTTTAGCTAGCTGTGAATTTCAAAATTATTAATTATATACCAGTCTCAAAACAATATAACCGAATGTCAGGAGTAATGGAACAAATCTATCTGGACGTTCTTCCAATAAAGATTTTCGCCCAATACTTGTCTAGTAAAAAATGATTGTAGATGAAAACTAGATCAAATTTAAGAAGTAAACATCCTTAAGGCAATATATACCCAAAAGTTAATAAAAAATTATGCGAAGTTTAAATGTAATGTATTGCACTTGATTAGCTTAATTTTGATATGTCGAATTTTTGTGTGTGTCCTGGCAGATCAAGTAAATATCATTTATGCCGTTTGGGCATTGTAGTGTCGATGTACTGTAAAGCAAAGTAACAAAGCAGAAACTAATTTGGAAGTAAAGGGGTCAATTGTAACTTGGTCTTCCAAACATAACATTTTGGCTTGTGGCACCGTAAACTCAAACAGAAACTTGTTGGTATAGTTAACATTTGACAAAAAACTGATCCTGTTGATGGAGCAACAGTTTTATCTAATTTTCCTGCTTTCCGAAGTATTCTTCTCCGAAGCTGCAATATTAACGAATAACTGCAATAAGTTTATAACGCGAGTATTATCTTCGTGATTTTTTTCTTTTTCTTTGCTCATTTCCACTTTATATGAAGTCTGCTCTCTTAATATTTTTACTCCATGACATTTTGTGCTGGGTTGTTTGTTAAGATAAATTATATTCATTTATGGGCTTGGTCATGCTAGCCCATGAGGTAAAAGGGGATTGCCCTCTTCCTCTTCTCCGGGACGCTTAGCGCTTTTCTTACAATATGATGTTCATCTCTGCGCATAACGTGGTCGCATAATATAATCTTCATAGACTAATTTGCAGAAATGATATTTCTTTTGCACAGATACCTTTACTTTCCTATTACATTGTCACTTTATTACATTATCTTTGTACAGGATTTGAAAGTAATCGATATCGGTCAGAGCAGGGAAATAATATCAAAATATAAACCATCTTCGAATGATGACAAACGAATGATGATAAACCAATAAAGAAGATGCGTGTATTAAATAAAGCAAATCATGTTTTTTTAAAGAAAAATTGGAACTTGTAAGACGAAAAGGAGATTTGAAAACAGAACCCTATTATACTTGCCATATAAAATGTAAAACAAATAATCCAGCGAAAATATCAGATTGCCTTACTATGTAATAATTTAGCGCAACAAGTACATGGGTGTAGAAAGCAAAGTCCGAATATACCTGTACTCACCTATGCGGACTAGAAC